TCCTTTTTCTTCAAAAAATAAGCTTTTCCAAAGGTGTTTGGAGTCACTAAATCATTTAAGGTTCTTTGTCTTACTACGTCCAAGGATGTTGTTGAATTTCTTCTAAGGATGTCCAGACTCGCTTTTAAGTCCAAATGATCATGGGTGTTTCAAAGAGGGTTTTTAAATCTGTTCCAAGCTTTTGTTTTGGCATCTTAAATTTGTTCAAATCTTGTAAACCTGTTTCAATTTCCATTTTGTACTGTAAAAGTGGTTGTGGACTTCCTTTGAGCATTGTAGATCCGTTTAGGATTTCTTTTGGTGTTTTGAAACTGTATGTCCATTCATATACCTATTTGTCTTGATTTTTTATACAATATGTTTTTGGTCTTGCTTTTGCGTTTCTATATTAATTGCTATACAGTTTTATACTTAAAACATGTGTTCCATGTGTCCCCTTTTTTAAGAAAACATTCGGTACTTAATAGTGACATGTTATCTATCTTTTGCTTTTATGTTAGTGTCACTTGTGGGCTTGAGAATAAGAGAATCAAAGATGCAAGTGAAATAAGCTGTAAAAAAGCTAAAGAAGTCGAACTTGAGCTTACTTTTAATGCATTTGGATACTATCTTATAGTTGTATAATCAGAAAGTTAGCATTGCTGCCATCTAAAAATAAAAAGAATAAAGAAGGGGTTCATCCTGAGTGTTTACACAAGGGTCTCAAAATTTAAACAGGGATTGATTTATATGCTTGTAGTTACTGTGTAAGTCCGCTGTTTGAAATTGTTTAGATTGAAAAATTAAGGTATTAAATGCTGCGTGTCACGGGGCGAGCTCAAACACAGGAAAATAAAACCAAAAACATGCAACCAAGTCGAGCTCGCGGAGCTAGAAATGCAACTAAAAGCAGAGAACAAAAAGTAGGTGCGGGCGAAGAACAGTTGGCAATACATGGTGTAATCAGGAGTAAATGGGGGCATGTCCACAATCAGTTTAAGCAGGGGATAAGTGGGATACGTGGCTTCAATCAGGGAACATTGGGGTAACATGGCAAAATTTAGGATAGCTATTTAAAGGGATATTAGGGTTAGAAGAAGGGTCTCGAATTCAAAGGGACATTTTGGGTCCTTAGCAACTAGGGTTTCTTCTTTCATCGCTCTATTTCCATGGACTTCTTTAGGGTCATGGCAATTCTAACTTCTTTAGGGTCTAAGTACTTTTTATTCTTTGATCTAAGCATGGTCTAACCAGAGACTGACCCCGATACATACTCACAGATTGATAGATTCTTGGTGTCAATTTTCTGTCGGATATAAGCAACGAGTATATTTGAGAAGCTTATGTAGCAAACTATATCATACCATTTTCCCATATGTTTTGAAGCTGAGGGGATCCAGTGGGGTCCTTATCCTTTCAAGTTTGAGGACAAATGGCAGAGGGATAATGCTTTTTGTGACAAGATTAGTGATTGGTGGAGAGATGTCGGGGTGAGAGGTAGTGCCAGCTTCAGAATTGTTCACAAGTTGAAGAATGTGAAAAATGCAATCAAATTGTGGTGCAAGGAGGAGGAGAGGAGATGAGAGATAGAAATAAAGTCTCTATTTGATGATATCGAGGCTATTGATGGAAAGGACGGTGAGAATGCTTTGTCAACTGGAGACTTGGCCCGCAGGGAGCCACTGAAGCTTGAATTGGTCAATAGACTGCAAATGGAGGAGATTTCCTGGAGACAGATATCAAGAGCCAAGTGGATCAAAGATGGAGATAGGAATACTAAGTTCTCTGCAGTATGACAAATCGTTACAGTAGGATTAACTATATAAAGAAGAGAGATATTAGGGGCGGGAAGTGCTGAGCAATGAGGAGTTGAGACGAGTTGTAAGGGGTTTTTTTGTAATTTGCACTGGGAGGAGTTTGGCTGGCAACCAAAGTTGGACGGCTTGAACTTCAGAACTTGGATGAAAAAAGTCAGGACTCGCTTGAAAGGGAATTTACAAAAGAGAAAATTTTTTTGAGAGATTTATACAATGTAACAAAGATCAATCCCCTGGACTAGATGGTTTTAGATGGACTTTATACAAAAATTTTGGCATGTTATGAAAGAAGATATCTTAGTAGTATTTAAGAAATTGCATGAGGCAGGCTCTTTTATTAAATCTTTAAATTATGTTTTTTTGCTTCTGATCGCTAAGGTGAATGGAGCTGCCAACATTAAGGAGTTTAGACCTATTAGTCTTGTCAGGAGCATTTACAAGCTTATTGCAAAGGTATTAGCCAAAAGGATGACCAAGGTGATTGATAAAGTAATAGGTGAGGGACCAATTGTAGACGCGGCTTTGATGGCTAATGGGGTGGTGGACAGAATTATTATTTTGAAAGAGAGTAGGGGTCCTCTGCAAACTTGACATGGAAAAAGCATATGATCACATCAGCTGAGGCTTTATTGATTATATGTTAAAGAGAATGGGCTTTGGACAGCGATGATGTGAGTGGATTAACTCCTGCATCACTATTACTTCTTTGGCTGTCATAGCGAATGAGGGCCATCTTCATTCTTCAAGGCCTTTAGAGGACTTTGACAAGTGGATCCATTATCTCTTCTACTGTTTATTGTAGCCATGGAAGGATTAAACAAGCTGTTGATAAGGGATAGGGAGTTGGAATTATTCAAAGAACTGAAAGTAAGATTAGGCGAATAGGTCAGGGAAATTACCCACTTAAATTTTGTGGATGATACCCCAGTGTACTGCAAACTAGATGAGGGGGCACTTCTCAATCTTAGATGTGTTTTGTTGGGTTTTCAAATAGTCTGTGGAGTTAATATTAATTTGACTAAGTCAGAATTAGTGAGATTGAGTGATGGGGATAATGTTACAAGATTGGCAAATGTCTTGGGATGCAAAAGGATGGAGTTGTCCATTAAGTATTTAAATTTGCTCTTATGTGCTAATTACAAAGATGTGAGGGCATGAGACTCGATCATAGAAAAGTTTGAAAGGAGGTTAGCAGTTTGGAAGAAAATCTACTATCTAAACTCTCATCAAAAGCACGTTGGCTAACCTTCTCATCTATTACATGTCTCTCTCTTAACAATCCTAGTGAGCGTGGCAAAGAGATTGAAATCCATCCAAGGCAAATTCTTGTGGGGTGATTTGGAGGATAGAAGGAGATATCATCTACTGGTATGAGATGAGATAAAAAGCCGTTATATCATGCTGGTTTGGCGATTCATAATAAATAATGGTACTCTATGGAAAATGGTGATCAAGACGAAGTTTGGTACCTTGGGTAGAGGATTGTTTACCAGAATTTCGTCAATACTGCATGGGAAAGTTTTCTGGAAGAAAATCTGCATGGGGAGAAATAAATTTCAGGGTTGTATCGAGTGGAGGGTTGGCAACAGGAGAAGAATAAATTTCTGGACGGATCTTTGGTTTAGGAGGGAGCACTTAGAGATCAATTCTCCCAAATATTTGATACTGCACAAAACAAAGATATCACAATCAGTAAGTCATTTAGAATTAATTGGGGGGCTCTGGAATGACAAGCCGAGTTGATGAGGAATCTCAACAATTGGGAGATTAATGAGTTTGAGTCCCTTATTAAAGCTATATCCATAGTTTATCTAAATTAGAGTAATGACCAATCAGTCTGGAGCCTAAGGGCTAAGGGTACTTACACGGTAAAGTCTTTTTACAATTACTTTGGTTAAAAATGAATCCTCTGGGATCAATTTTCCATACAAGCAAATTTAGAAGGTCTCCGTTCAGAATGACTTTTTCTGCTTGTGAGACAGGGAGGGGACGTATACTTACTATTGACAAGTTAGGGAAAATGGAAAAGATTTTGGTGAATAGATGCTCCCTATGCAAGGGTGCGGACGAGTCTTGTGGCCATATATGGTTGTGGTGTTCATTGGCGTTCAAGTTTATGGTTCATGATGTATGGGTTATTGTGAATCAGTTGGATTATGGCAGACAATGCAGGGGATGGGATTTGAGCGTGGATGGGTATTAGCAGTGGGAAAAAGTATGTGGGTCACATTGCCCTTCCTGTTTTCTGGGTTGTGTGGAAAGAAATGAATAGAAGAATTTTAAGGGGGTAGATGCTAACTTCAATAGGGCAAGGGATAGATGGTTCCAAACTCTGGGCTTATTAATTACAGGTCATTCTTTGCATTCTACAGAAGATTTTGAGAATCTTAAAGATATCCTTATTGAAGTGTACATAATTTTGTACATGGGTTGGCACCCCTTTGGTGCTAGTAAATGATATATACCATACTTTTGTTTCGAAAGTAAACATCTGAATATGAAGAAAATCTTTCCAATTCATTGTCTTTTCAAGTCCTCGTTCTCCCTTATTCTTCCCTTCGCCCTTCTCTTCGATCTGATCATATTTTCTTCACATTCTCACACATTCACAGTCACAGGATACATATCAGAAGTACCTGACAGTGCGTTAAAAGATTAAATAAGTGAGATAAACAGGGACCATCTAGGCTTTCACATTTTTTGTTTTTAGTCTATGCTAGGTGCTGCTTTGGTGGTGTTTGAATCAGAAAAATGATGAGATGTTTTCTCCTTTTTTTTTTGGAGATGAGATAGTGGAAATCAACTACTTTTTTTATGTGTATGTTCAGTCATGGTTTTAGGGGCTATTTTTATGTAGTTTTGCTTCTGTGTCAATGTTGTAATAGGACCAACACAAAATTTGTGAATAAATGACTGTCTGATAATGAGTAAGGACTTTCTGTCTTTCTACTAAACATGTTATATTAAACTTATAATTCATCATATATTCTTTATGAATGTTAATCAAGTATAGTAAATAAATTTTCTAGTTGTTCAATCATTTGATAACTAGAGCAATTCATTGATAAATAATCACTATGGGTCAAGCTTGATAGAATTTGATTTAATCTACCTCATAATGTAACTTTTTATACATTGCTACCTGTACAATTTTTGAACTCAGATATCTGAATCATTGAGGAATAGATGTTTTGGTAACTAATCCAGCCTTTCATAGGATTTGAAGGGGAGGTGGCTACATGGTCTATTACGCATAAATCAAAGAGGAAATACGTCTTTAGCCATGAAGAATTGTTTATATAATAACATGTACAAGAAGGAGCTCGGATTTTTGGTTTTGTATGCCATTGCTTTTTATGCCTTCATCATCCAACGATCACTTCTTCTATCCCGCGGTATTTCTTTCTTCCTTTCTCCTTCCAGTATTTATCCCATAATATCCCTTTTCAATTACTGTTTAATACTAACTTTCTGATAGATCATTATCGTAAGCTGCCCGGTTTACGTCCTGGCTGGCTCTTTCATCTTGGCTTCAGCGTAAGCAAAACCATTTGTATCACCTTTTCCTTTCAAAATCCCACTCCTTTATTTCTTAACAATTTAAATGTGGGGATGCAGGATGCTTCTGATGCTCAGTGGAGGAACTTCCGTGGAAATTTACCAATTCTTACTCTAGTTCTCACAATTTTCACAGCATTGGCTAATATGTCAAGGTCATATTTTCACTTAAAAGCCAAGGGAATGTCAATTGTTTGGCTTTTCATATCTATGGTTTATCTGTTGTACCTACATGGAGCTTGGTATGTGATACTTTTTTTTTTCTGCTTTAAAACCTTCTTTCCTGTTACAAATCATTTTTGCTTTCTTCATTTTCCTCAATTCTCCTTTTCTTCTGTTTTTGGTCAGCATCATATTCATCCTCTCCATAGCTGCTGCTAATTTCCTTTTGACTAAGGTGTGTCTTGGTAGTAGTTTCTGATTTTTTAAATGCATGGATAAAAGTTAACTGAGAATTATCATGGTAGTCGTCCCGATTTGATACATTTTAATGTCAAGTGTTTGTGTTTCTTCTACTGGTTCTCTATGGGTTCTAGTATGTTCGTCTCTTTTCTGCAATTTGGTAATTGAATTGGTCTTCAAACAGTTAAGTTCTCTTTTTCATCATTTCTGCAGATATTTGCACGCACAAAGTACTTCCCTTGGGCGCTTTGGGTGTATAACATATTTTTTCTTCTATGTAATCGTGTTTACAAAGGATATTCTTTCACCCTTTTTGGGTAAGTTTATATATCGGTTTTGTCTCATTTTGTTGGCCTTCTTTGTTTCTCGCAAGACATTGTCAAAATAATTATTTTCTTTCACTTAGGCAACGATGGGCCTATTTGGATCATTTCCGAGGCACATTTAGATGGCACATTTGCTTCAACTTTGGTATTTCCTTTCCACATTCATTTTTCAGGATTTCAGTTTCAATAAGATTCCTTGGACCTTGTTCTTCTTGCTTTCAATAACATCACATTCTTTCTTCTCCAGATCGCGTTTGTGGAATTTGCTGTTGTAGTTAATATCTAAGTATCTAACTTTTGCATGCTTAACAGTGTTGTATTCACAATCTTCTCTTATTCAGGGAATTTTTTGTGTAATTGGTCTCTCTTATGTCATGGTTAGATGAGAACATTTTGGCTTCACTTCAGAATCTGTGCTAGGCTATGGTGGAATCGATTAATCAATATACAGAATTGAAATTTATTGTCTTAAAGTTTCCTGACAGAGAAGTTGGAACTTCAGCGGCAGTATTAACTGCAGCATAACAAGTTAATATCTGGAGATTCTAGAGTGTTCTTCTTTTTCAGTTTCTGTGTTTTGGGTTGGTGACTGGATCAGACAAACTAGAACCTCATTAGCTGGGAAAAATTGTTCTATATTTTACTTGTTGCTTTGCTCTGAACCATGAATCTGCATTTTAGGAAAACCACTGCTTTGTTTTGGTTGGTTGGAGCAGAGAATTATGAGAATGAAACTGAAACTTCTAATTCTTTATGATTAATGTTTGTATATATGTCACTGCGGAAAATGTTTCCTTACCTGTATTTTTTTCCTTTTAAGTACCACATCTATTTATTATTTGGATATTTAATATTACTCTCTTTTACTGGCTTAATGG